AATGAGGAAAAACATATATTTGTCCAGTTTTCCCAGTACAGAACACTGGCAAGGTTGATGTCATGCAATCCATTTTGGAGACCATTGCATCAAAACTGGGGCTATGTAAAGTTTTACCCATCAAGGCCAATCTTGGCATATCTGATGCTATGTAAAGTTTTACCCATCAAGGCCAATACAGCAACTCTGATTCAACTAATGTTAATTCAATACATCCCACTGAAAGCAATGGGATTTAAGTTAATCACAACATACTTATCCCATCATTTTCAAAGGAATGTCCTTTCCATGCTTGCAGAAGAATGTATGAGGGCACAAACTGTGTAGAAATTGAATGGCTGTGTGTATCATGCTGGTTTCCAATATCCTTCCACCTCCAAAGTTTTCACCTCCAAAGTTTTCCCTTCAAAGAGAATTTCTGACTATCCTTAGAAGATTTCTTAGCAGCTAAAAATGCTTTTCACCAGGAGGCTCACCCTCCCACCATATAGTTTAGAAATTAGTTTTATTAATTTGGGGATTGATCATCTGAGCTAAACACGGGCTTCATGGGCATATCTGATTTCTGAGACACAAATGTCTGCCTAAATTGTGTCTCCAGAACATTGATATTACTTTAGTTATAATGATGAGTTATCTATTGTGTATCATTTGGCTATCAGAAGCAGCATCTGGAAGTTGGCATTCCTGCTCAGACATTCATCCAAATGTGGTTAGATTCTTCCTCAGGCCTTCACATTTAGCATGAGAAGGTTGAGTGGGGAGGCATTAACAGCAGGCTGTCCTGCTTGGCCCTGCAGATCCTACCTAGTTTGTTCGGGGAAGGAGGCAGCAGCGTTTTCTCCCGGTTGCCTCCTTATTTTATTTTTAACCCAGTCTTTTAAACCTTTTAATCTTTTTATACACAGTTATAAATAGCTTTTATCATTTTAGTTTTAGATAGCTTTTAACATCTTTGGTTTTAGACAGTTTTTAAGTCTTTTAGTTTTTAAAATCTTCGAACCTGTTCTTTTGGAAGAAGAAAAGGAGGGAGTAGCCAGAGACTCTATTTTGTGGATACAAATAACCCGGCTCTTATCAGCAGCCTCATTAACTTTGTTTTGCCTTTGAAGATAAAGAAATAATAATATTAGGAATACTGCCACGGAAAAATATATTTCTGACCTTGGAAAGATAGAAACCTGACTACTGGATTATTGGACTTATCCGAACTATGGTGGAAACAAGAAAAAAGAGCTACTTCTCTGTGAGTAACAGAACAACGCGGCTAAACTAAGAGAACTTGGGGATTGTGGACTGCTACCAATTTTTGTGGATATTTGCATTTTACATTTTTCACAAAATGGAAATACTTGATCTTACACTGTCTCCTTCAGTGTTGAGACAGATACAGTGTGGCACTCCAATATCAATTACACCTGTCTCGGACCTGAGACTCAGTAGGAACCGGTGAAGGCAATCAGCTTTCTAAAACATCGCAGGCCCAGGTATGTGGTCACAGCATTTCCAAGCCTTCTACTCCTCCTGGGAACTTTAACAAATATAACGCCAAACATTGTGTTAAAGTCTACCCTGTTGCCCCGAGGAAATTGAAGCAAATCAAGATAACTGACTTTGTTAGTTCACTGAAACCCTTAACAATCAACATAGAGAATTCTGTTACTCCTCATATCGATTTATCTGACAG